GTGAAGTTTCAGAAAGATCCGTTAGTAAATGTGAAAGTTTTTCTGGAGGGCAGACGCCCCTCTTAATTGAATCAAATTGACATGCTTGTTGTCCGGTCCTGCCGTTTATATTTTTAATTAATTATGATTTTCATGCGATACTCGTTATCGCGAGAAAACAGGATTCTCATGCTCAATATTAATAATTAATACGAATAAAATGGAACACGAACGAGAATATGTACAACGTTTCCGATGCAGGCAGTACTAAATTAAAGATTCCTATCAATGAAGTATACCTATCACTTTTTCAAATGACCTTCCAGCAAATCCTTGCATGACATTATTAAAAATAAACGAAAACGATTCAAGTTCCAAAAAGACCGCACAGATTTTGAATTGGCCTCCACAAATTTATTTTTTGTCGGAAGTTCCTGTAAACAATTTGCCGATTGCTGAAAATATATCCATTTTGCGGTCGTTGGCACTGCCGCCATGACACTCGATCATATGATCTTGCTGGTGCAGGTAGACTTTCTAGTAGACTTTCTCTCGAGATCATATGCCCGCTTTCCCGGCGCCGATTGTGAGGCAAAGCTTGCAACTCTACACTTTCTCTCATTGCATTGAATGATCAGAGTTTCTATAAGGCTTATAAAACTTCTAGTAAAGACAATTAAAAGCCTTTTCAAAAAGTCTCTATTTAAATATTTAACTGAATGGTAGTATTACGGGAAATGATTGGGCTTACTTTGTATTTACTTCATTACCGGTATTTGAAATTATTTCATGCAAGAATGTTTATTTGTTAACTCAGAATCCTAATTATTTTAATATAAGTATATAGGAATAAGAAAAATAATAATTACACAATTATCTTATATCAAACTAATAGGTACAAGCAAGCGCAATGCTGATTTTGGAAATGATTTTGGTTCAATTTTTTCAGTCATAATACTTCCATTAGGGAGTTTAACATGTATAAAATGATCAGCACCTATGGAGTGAAATTTCGGTTTCAGCTACCTAGTATGAAGCTGTGGCGTTGATGGAATGAACAAAGAGATTTCATCAGGTGAACATGGTCGCTTTGGAGACTGTATTTGACGAGCCGGGAAGCTTATTTACTGTCTGCCCGACGTAGAAGACGGCATTCGATCACTGCTCTTTAGCGGGGTCGGTTTAGGTTTTCTACAGTAGTAATTTTCGTCATAGAACTCGTTTATAATGTGGAAAATATTTATAAACAACTTGAGCGGTGCCTTCGAGCAACATTTACAGTAGGGGAATACAACAGTACAGTGGGAAATTTCGATTGAAAACCTACGGCAGAAAAGTAAGAGATGTTATACCAGACACGGTCGTAAATGCGGTTTGTTAGTGAAGGAAATTTAAAAAACTCTAAGTTTACAAATGCTAGAGGTAAGAGTTATAGTAAACACTTGAAAGGCACTCAATCTATACTATGTCATATTTGAATTCATTAGTATCTCACTGAAGTACAATGTTTTACCTTGCGATTTTAAATCTGACTTTTATGAGCATGATGCCCCACCAAATCCTTAACCAAGTTTATTTAAAAAACATTATTCCCAATTTGACTGTACAAATGCTAAACTTATGATTCATGATCAATTGATCATTTTCATAATTATTGGCCTTAACTGATATCCAGTAAATCAAAGGTAATTCGCCTATAAATACTTACAAACATTATTCAGAAGATTTTACATTTTTCAATATCGTAGATTAATTCTGATCCCACGCGTACAATTCATTCAGAATATTACATCGTCTATAGTCAAAATAATCCCGAAAGTGTTTTAATTTATGTACGTTAAATATTTCCAGCAATTAATAGTATCGAGCGCATATACTAAATCTGATTGCTGAATTTGTCGAGGTTTAGAAAAATATGTATTAGATTTCTTACAATCTAATCCTTCTTTCAGTTCTTCATAGTTCGTGCGTCGCTCCAAAAGTTTGCAAAAAAAATCCTTTCATGTTGTTATACTTGTAGTTCGTGCGTGGCTACAAATCCCTGATACTCGATGTCGTCACAAGCCATCTGGTGGATGCTAGCCGTCATGGCGGTGGCTCTCATATCATGTGTCTCTCCTGCCGCTCTATCCGTCCAAAACTTCGGTGAGCTTGCAAATTAATTAATGTATCACTTCTAGACGATATTTTCTAGGAATTTTACTGGAAGTTACGGATCTTTAGTTCACAGCAGAATTTTTTAAATACAAAACTTTAATGAAATTACAAAATATTGATGAAATCGCAAATATCCTGTAAACAATTAAAAGTAAAAAATATTATTGGAGTAATGATGTTAATGATTTCTTTTATAATAAAATATCACCTATTATTATTTTTATACTGAGAAGAGACTCCCGAAAGAGGGAGAACTAAGATACCCTAATTTATAAAGAAGATTGGAAATATATGTATATTTTTTCAGAAAGCCCATTCCTGCGAAAGCAGTGACCAATGTTAAAAATCAAATGATTTTGAAAATTATTGATTTTCTGTTCCAAATGTTACTGATAGAATAAAATTTACCATACATATTTCTCAATTGCCGTGCACAGGAGAAATGGACGTCGATTTAGACGTAGAGAGCGAGCGTGCTCAGTTCAACAGCACGTGCAAGTGCGGCAAAAAGTTCACGCGCATCGTCGGCGGCACCGAAACTCAGGTCAACGCGTATCCTTGGCAAGCAGCGCTCTTCGACAAGGATACTAACAGCTTTGTATGTGGCGGGTCGCTCATTACCAATCAGCACATCCTCACAGCTGCACACTGCTTCGCTCCTGAGGTGAGAACATAGTTGTAAAAGATCTTATTGGACGACATAAAATCCTACAGTTTAGAATAATTGTATCAGCGTCCATAACAGGGACATGTCTTTCCCATCTCGATAATTGTAATATTTCTGACTTGTTTCACGAAGGTAGAAAACAGGTGCTAGGACCAGGTCTATCTCTGTCTCTTATACACATCTAGATGTGTATAAGAGACAGATATTATATTATATTATATTATATTATATTATATTATATTATATTATATTATATTATATTATATTATATTATATTATATTATATTACATTATATTATATTATATTATATTATTTTTTATTATATTATATTACATTATATTATATTATTTTTCAAGGAGTGATATAGTATAACAAATATTTGATCTGCTAATGCAGTTCAACTTACGAACCTATTCTTTTCAACGTCGTGGACGAAATTATTTTCACGAAGACAAGTTCACATATTTTTTTATTTTATTTCTACCACAATAGAAAGACTCCGAATTCAGTCGGACTTGAAGTTAACTCATAATTTCATTTAATAGTGTCCTCAAAATTGAGCATCAATTAACCACAGATTGGAATTGTGAGCTTCGGGAAAGGCTGCGGTGAGGCAAACTACCCCGGAGTCTACACGCGAGTCAACAAATTCTTGTATTGGATTGAGAGGCACACGACGGAGGGAGTTTACTGCTCAGGTTTTACATTCCCTTAAATGCGGACGACCGATCTCTCAACGACACAATGCTCAACATGACTCCAACTAAAGAGAGAATTCATAACAACGCCTTTTCGATTTTGCAAAGAATAATTGATGTAATATTTCATAGAAATTTTTATTTAAGAGCTAGACATTCCACGACAATTTATATTTAACGGATAATTTTATTCGATTTCATCATTTTTATGACATCTGCACCGGCAGGAAGAGAAGTAAATTCTTTCTTTGTTTTATAGGAATGAGATGGAATCAAGATTTTTCTTTTGCGCTGGAGACAATTTTCCAGAGTGCTGTATAAATTGAAAATTATAGCAAGTTATTTACATGAGTAAAACCACGTGCTTTTTTAGTATTCTGAAAAAAAATGAATAAAATATTTTAATAAAAACATACAATATAGGGAGCTTACGTAATGAACTAAGTAAAGAAAATGGTAGGATCTAAAATAAAAATATTTATAAATTAACTATGACCTGATTGATATATTTTTGTACTATTTCTCGATATCGCCAGATTTAAGAAAAAATATTGCCAATTACTGAATTAAGGTACAACTTCAGACGCACTTAACTATTTATTGAACTAAAAATCTTTCATGCAAGCTGAAACACATAATTGATCCTAAAAATGTGTTTGCTCTTTTCTCTTATTGCAGAGAATTTATTTATTTGCTGTTGTCTCTTATTATTATTTTTCTCTCTAGAAAATCAATAATTTTTTAAATCATTTCATTTTTCAACAAATGTCACTGCTTGCGTACGAAATGGCTTCAAAAAAGTACTTTTATCTTCATTATGAATTATGGTATCTTAGTTCTTCCCCTTTCGGGAGTCTCTACTCAGTATAAAATAATAGTTGGTGATATCTTATGATAGTATTATAAAAGAAATCATTAATATTATAACTCAATTATCTTTTTAGCGCATTTTTTCATTTATGGAAAAAATGCACTATTGTGCTCGCCATGTCCGTCCGTCCGTCTGTCTGTCTATCCGTCCGTCTGTCCGTGACCTCAAGTTTTTGTCGACGAGAAAATGCGCTCTCTGTCACTCACTGCAGTGAGTACTGAGTTATATTTTTTATCTATTGTTTCTCTATAGGTTATAGGCATTTTTATCAATATTTTGTCGTTTCATTAAAGTGTTGGATAAAAAAAATCCTGCTGTTGGATAAAAAACTAAAGATCCGTAACTTCCAGTAAAATTCCTAGAAAATATCGTCTATAACTATAAGTGATACATTAATTAATTTGCAAGCTCACCGAAGTTTTGGACGGATAGAGCGGCAGGAGAGACATATGATATGAGAGCCACCGCCATGACGGCTAGCATCCACCAGATGGCTTGTGACGACATCGAGTATCAAGGATTTGTAGCCACGCACGAACTATAACAACAGGAAAGAAGGATTAGATTGTGAGAAAGCTAATACATATTTTTTGCATACATTTTGTAGCAACGCACGAACTATGACGAAGTGAAAGAAGGATTAGACCGTGAGAAATCTAATACATATTTTTCTAAATCGCGACATTTTCAGCAACCAGATTTAAGATATTCGCTCGATACTATTATTTGCTGAAAATTTTTAACGTACATAAATTAAAACAATTTCAGAAATTTTTTAAGCATAGACTATGTAATATTCTAAANTCTCTTATACACATCTAGATGTGTATAAGAGACAGATATAATATAATATAATATAATATAATATAATATAATATTGCTTGTGTCACCTAGGTTTGTCCAGTACTCATTCATGGACCTCTACAATTAAAAGGCATGCAATAAAAACGACTTGTTTTTCTATGTATTCCTACCCGTATTTCCACAGTCTTCAATCCGCAGTCTTTCAAAAAGAAAACAGCAATGAAAAAGTATCAAAAAGTAACAGACAAATGAACCTCAGTCAAAGCGTAAATAAACGTTTCTCTCGAATAAAGTAATCAAATCATAAAGAATTTAACAAAATATATAACAATGGTGATTAAAATAATCACATGATTTAAAATACGGGAACAAACCTTAAACCTTTAACTCAGACATTAAATTAATGATCGCAAAGAAATGATAAATAATAATGATAAATAAAAGCTTAAATAAGAAACATAATATGGATACATGAATTTAAACCTTGTGTTCCCTTATATGCTCATATCACCAATGAAACCCTTGCTATAACTTCGGACTCAAACTTTGGAGGCATTCTGAAAAATACATTAATAAAAAAATAAAGGCAAGAATTTATTTAAAACCTAAAAAAGGATATAACGCAAAACATAACACAAACAAATATTAGACAAATGTAATTATTATCCATAATTACGAAAGAAAAATCGCCTGTAAATCGACACCTAATTATCACAAAAAACCTCAGATTAAGCGCCAACACGTACAACCGTGGTATATATTTGTATAGGTCAATAAACAATTCATAAAAACTGAGCATGTCACAACGGGGGGCACGTCAGAGGTGCATTAAATCCCCGAACAAAAAATTAATTGTATTCTTTTTGCAATCCATTACTGTGTACATTCGAACAATGTAGTTTTTAAAATGAGAAGTTACGTATTTTTAAAAGAATATCGCTCATGAGAGTCACATCGGTTCCTCTATTATCAAATGTTTTAAAACTCATTTATTCATCATAATTTTTCACTTTCACTAGGTAATCAAAGGAAAAAAAGGAATTTTGTTTTATTCTCTTAAGGGAAAGTAAAACCTGAGCAGTAAACTCCCTCCGTCGTGTGCCTCTCAATCCAACGCAAGTATTTATTTACTCGCGTAAAGCCTGCCGGCAAGACTTTGTCGCCACATCCCTTATGTCCGAAGCTCGTAATCCCGATCTGTGACAAAATCAAAACCAATTCGGAATCTTTATAAATATATTACATTTAGTAAATAAATTGGGCCATTTTCGTTGCAAAAAATATGTGCAGATATTGGCATCGTGAACACAGTCAATTTTATGGGAAAGTAACTCAGGTGTAGGGGAAACCTGCCTTATTACCTTACTATCAAGTAAGGTAATAAGGTACACATACGGGCTTTAAGACTCAATCTTTATATACGTTGTGGCTCAATAAAAGTACGAAAAAATAATATATCATCTCACTATTGTTTTAATGAAACCTTATTTTTATGCTACTCGATTGACTAGCTGTTGCTTAATTCTCCTGACTTATCTCTAATTTTGAGGGATGTTTGACGCCGGTATATTTTATAAGCCTGATTAATATTGACAAGTTTTCGTACTTGGTCATAATTTTGTTCTTGATCAAGGTATATGAGAGGACCGCCGGAGTCGCCGTGGCAGGTGCCTTGACCGTCTAATCCTGCAGCGCACAACATCTTGCGCGTGATCCGGATAGGCTCGAAGGCGGTCCGGTTCAAGCAATCTTTGCGGCTGAACACCTACATAAATAATTCAAAGATTAGCCAGTCACAAGATCATTTTAATGGTATAAATAAAACTTTCAATATAAGTTCTCAAAGTCACTTGTTGTAAGGATAATTAGCGTATCGCTAGCATTGGATTCAGTGCTTCTTTAAAACACCTTAACAGATACTTGATAACTTAACTGGAATTTGAGTGTTAGAACTAGAATTGATTTATCATAAAACATTCTTACTCTCATTTATTTCCTAAATATTTATTACTCAAACGATTCATTTCTTAATCATGTCTTACTCAAAGGATTTTAAGCAAATGTTCGATATTTCAAGTTTTTTTTCCGAAAATGTACAATATTATGAGATAAATTCATATATCGGTGTTGTAATTAGTTGTAAATTCTACTTCTAGGACGGATATCACTCACCAAATTCAACGCACCCTTGCCCGAAAATATCTAAAATGCCTTGGCATCAACTCCAGTGGAATGGAGATACATAGGACTACTGATGCACCGATATATTTAAATTTTTAGGCTCTAAATTAAACTTCAACGTTGTTAGACTTGATTAACATACCCTAGTCTACGCCCTCAATCATTATTTTTACCAATAATACACGTACAGAGACTTTAACTTCCTGTAAAGTGTTGGTGGTATCGCCACCGGTCGACGTTGCACCCCATCCTGTGGCAATAGCTTCTTCGTTTCCGTATTTTAGCTTAGCTGAAGACGGCAAACACACGGGCAACAGCCGTGAGCTGATCTGTTAACACGAATTAGACATAAGATTGTTGGATGTAAATAACTTATATCCGAGTTAGCAAGTAATGTTCTAGCTTCGAATATGTAAAACAAAATGAATTTAAGTTAAGTCATGTGTATATTCAATAATCTCTTAGAAACAATAATAAACCTGCCAATTTGAGCTACTAATATACAGGTCATAGAACAACCCAAAGGTTTAAAATCGACTCACTGGTACGGTTTTGTTGAGATGTATTATGGCAATATCATTTTGAATGGTGGGCCGGTCGTAGTGCTTGTGTATGTGAATTGTCTTCGCGTATCTTTCAACCAAATTTGTTTCCGATGGATTGGAGAGATCGTGATCTCTTAAGTGCACCACCATATTCTCTGCTGTTAGAGGCGTCTGCACAAACATCATATAATCGTAAAATGAACTATGTATATTTTTTATTTGTATTAACTTTGTTACATCTTAGTCGATCTCAATTTTTCACACGATCTCGTTTTTCATTTCTCATACTTGGATTTAATTTTCAGTTTTTGTTTTTTACATGCTTTTGCCATGCTTTTTCTATGACTAACAATGTACTCTTACTGATGTTTCCTTTACCTTATGATTTCTATTTCTTATGTCCCATTTCCGTATTACCTCTTCAAGAACCAAAATTACCAACCAATATTGGAAGCCTCTAATATAAGCATGGGAGTAATATTCCCCTTTATTTTTATATAATCAAATCTTTATTTGTCAATCCTCGGGATATGCTCGCATTACCATTTTCGTCGAAATGGTTGGCTAAAATATGAAACCTGCAAAAATAAACTGCTATTATATGAAACCAGAATCGAACCCGGGGGCCATAGTAGTGATCTGAAAATTTTCTGTGACGCTGTAACGTGATTTTCTTCACGTTACGTGTCAATGACGTGTGGAACAGCGAATCAGACTCACTGATCGTTGAGGCCTTTTGCAAGCAGTATTTTCAGACCCCGGTAAAATTTTTTGCTAGACGAATGGTTTCTTCAACCAAAGAACTGTTCAGCTCTGGGCATATGTCTGCATGCTTGAGCTTATTGCTCAAGCAGAAGATAGCTTATGAACTATTTACTTTACAAGGAGCCTCTCTGTGAGCAACATATTTGATTTGGGATTTCCACAACTATCGTTTATTTCGCTATTTATTTGATTGTCTCTCCAGGAATTTAGAGTGCAGTTGATAACTTAGTTGCTTGTAAAGAACTACATGTGAAAGTCAATACCAACTGTCATTGCAGCAGCCGACGATGGATGCAGAAAGATCCTCACTTGCTATGAACTGTGAACAACTGAAAGCTGCAACCAAGTTAGTGCCGTATCTAGATTTTGTTAAGATTAACATGCGCTGCTCCGTTCTATTGTGTGATCTTTCGTCAATAAACGCAGAAATTCAAGGCCCTTGCAGAACTGTTTTCTCAATAGAAATTTAATGTGACGAAAGTTACATGACATGAAACGGCAAATAATTCAACGATTATTTTAAACACAACGTTGTTCATTCAGTAGGATACATGGATTTAATAGGAGAAATTGGCTTGACTTGCATTACCTCGAATCAGGGATACCTTTTGATGTATCGATTGAATTTTTTTTATTTGCGATTATTACCCTCATTCCTAACCACGCCATGTCATAATAGTTACTAGCTGTAAACGTCTTTGCATGAAATTGAGCCTCTGGTAGACTGCTCTGATCTTAGAACTGAGCGAGTAGTGCAATATAGACTGCATATATATATATTGTACAGTGATTGAAATGCATTTTTTTGAATGAAAGCATTTTTCATATTCGGCCGTGTCTGTCCCGAACGTATCAGGTACCAAATACGCGCGCCCCACGATCGCCCCAAGCTCGACGAGTAATTTCACAAGATTCCATTTCGGCGCTTATTTCGCTACGGCAACCGGAACCTAAAGCGGACATATAGAGCTTCTAATTTACCCTGCCATAAGAACTTGGGGCGTCCGTGTGCCAGCGGCTGACAGGTCTTCGAATTTCGATAGGGCAGTAGCTTCTAAGCATCGAATTCAGCTCAAGATAGACCTGGTCCTAGCACCTGTTTTCTACCTTCGTGAAACAAGTCAGAAATATTACAATTATCGAGATGGGAAAGACATGTCCCTGTTATGGACGCTGGCACAATTATTCTAAACTGTAGGATTTTATGTCGTCCAATAAGATCTTTTACAACTATGTTCTCACCTCAGGAGCGAAGCAGTGTGCAGCTGTGAGGATGTGCTGATTGGTAATGAGCGACCCGCCACATACAATGCTGTTAATATCCTTGTGGAAGAGCGCTGCTTGCCAAGGATATGCGTTGACCTGAGTTTCGGTACCGCCGACGATGCGCGTGAACTTTTTGCCGCACTTGCACGTGCTGTTGAACTGAGCACGTTCGCTCTCTACGTCTAAATCGACGTCCATTTCTCCTGTGCACGGCAATTGAGAAATATGTATGGTCAATTTTTATTCTATCAGTAAAATTTGGAAAAGAAAATCAATAATTTTTTAAATCATTTCATTTTTCAACAAATGTCACTGGTGCAAATGTCAACACTGGTTCCAACTGGTTTTCAACCAATGTCACAACAAATGCTCTAAAAAAAAGCACTTTTATTTTCGTTATGAATTAGGGTATCTTAGTTCTTCCTCTTTCGGGAGTCTCTACTCGGTGTAAAAATACTAATTGATGGTATCTTATGATAGTATTATAAAATAAATCATTAAGATTATAACTCAAATATCTTTTTATCTATTGCTTCTCTATAGGTTATATGCATTTTTATCAATATTTTGTCGTTTCATTGAAGTGTTGGATAAAAAATCCTGCTGTGAACTAAAGATCCGTAACTTCCAGTAAAATTCCTAGAAAAAATCGTCTATAAGTGATACATTAATTAATTTGCAAGCTCACCGAAGTTTTGGACGGATAGAGCGGCAGGAGAGACACATGATAAGAGAGCCACTGCCGTGACGGCTAGCATCCACCAGATGGCTTGTGACGACATCGAGTATCAAGGATTTGTAGCCACGCACGAACTACAAGTATAACAACATAAAAGAAAGATTAGATTGTGAGAAAGCTAATACATATTTTTTGCAAACTTTTGGAGCGACGCACGAACTATAACGTACTGAAATAAGGATTAGATTGTGAGAAATCTATTACATATTTTTATAAACCTCGACAAATTCAGCAAATATATTTAGTATATGAGCTCGATACTATTAATTGCTGGAAATATTTAACGTACATAAATTAAAACATTTTCAGAATTTTTTAAGCATAGACTATGTAATACTCTAAATAAACTGTAAACGTGGGATCAGAATTAATCTACGATATTGAAAGATGTATGATATTGAAAGATGATCTGCTTCTGAATATCTTCCGATTAACTGGATATCAAGCTTAAGTCAATAATTAAGATTATGAGCATGAATTATATGTATAGTATTTGTATGGTCACATTGGGAATAACGTTTTTTATATAAACTTGGTTATGGATTTGGTGGGGCAACATGCTCATAAAAGTCAGATTTAAAATCGCAAGATAAAACATTGTTCTTCAAGATGCACTTTGTGAGATAATAATGAATTCAAATATAATATAGTATAGATTGATTGCTTTTCAAATGTTTTACTATAACTCCTGCCTTTAGCCTGTGCAAACTTATTAAGAGTACTTAGAAACTTCCTTCACTAGAAGACCGCATTTACATGTGTATCTGTTATAACATCTCTAACTTTTCTGTCGTAGGTTTTCAATTAAAACTATATTTCAATTGAACCAATAAATATTTCCACATTATAAACGAGTTCTATGACGAAAGTTACTACTGTAGAAAACCTAAACCAACCCTGCTAAAGAGCAGCGCTCGAATGCCGCCTTCTACGTCGGGCAGGCCGTATAAAATAAGCTTCCCTGCTCGTCAAATGCAGTCGCCAAAGCGACCGTGTTCACCTGAAGAAATCTCTTTGTTTATTCCATCAACGTCACAGCTTCATACAAGGTAAATGAAACCGAAATTTCACTCCTTATGTGCTGATCATTTTATACAAGTTGAACTGACTATTGTGACTGAAAGAATTTAATCAAATTCATTTCTGCATTGCGCCTGCTAGTACCTATTAGTTTGATTTAAGATAATTGTGTAATTTTTATTTTTCTTATTCCTACTTATATTAAAATAATTAGGATTCTGAGTTGACAAATAAACTATCTTGCATGAAATAATTTCAAATACCGGTAATGAAGTAAATACAGAGTAAGCCCAATCATTTCCCGTAATACTACATTCAGTTAAATATTTAAATAGAGACTAAGGCAAAAAATATTTTAATTGTCTTTACTAAAAGGTTTGAAAAGCCTTATAGAAACTCAATGTTTATTCAATGCAATGAGAGAAAGTGTCGAGTTGCAAGCTCTGCCTCGCAATCGGCGCCGGGAAAGCGGGCATATGATCTCGAGAGAAAGTCTACTAGAAAGTCTACCTGCCACAGCAAGATCATATGCTCGAGTGTCATGGCGGCAGAGCTAACGACCGCAAACTGTAGAATTTTCAGCAATCGCAAAGAACTTGCGATTGTTGAAAAGAAAGATTGCGACAATAAGAGAACAAATTAGCGGAGGATAATTTGAAATATGTGCGGCCTTTTTGGAACTTGAATCGTCTTCGTTTACGTTGAATGCTGCCTTGCAAGGGTTCCCAGGAAGAACATTTTAAAAAGTGATATAGTATACTTATTTGATAGGAATCTTCATTTCACTACTGACTGCATCGGAAATGTTGTACATATTGTCGTTCGTGTTCCGTTTTATTCGTATTAATTATTAATATTGAGCATGAGAATCATGTTTTCTCGTGATAACGAGTATCGCATGAAAATCATAATTATGTAATAATATAAACAACAGGAATTTGGACAACAAGCATGTCCTATTGATTCAACTAATGCAAAATTCAATTAATTAATTTATTTCGAATGACACGTTCATTTGCAATTTTGCTTTTCGTTTGTGAAATTGCATAGATTTTTGCAAAAGCTTTACTAAATCTGGGGAAGACAAATAATCATTGGTCCAATAATGCTGTTCTACAGTTAAAATATGCATTTAAGATGCTTAGAGTAATTGAATAAGGATAAATCAGAGTTCTAGATCTATAATTTTAATTAATACAATCCATAATAATAATTAAGACAAATAAATATCATTACAAGCACTGATTATAATTAAAAATAATAATTACAATTAAACCAATTTTCAATACGAACGATATTGAAAATGTGGTCATTTTAGGACAAGTTTGTCCTAGCAGAAATATGATTTTTTTTACGAAAGATAAAAAACTAACTTTATATCCGTAATTCTGTACAGGTAAACGATCATTAAAATTAAATGAAAACATTTTCCTCTGTGTTCCGTGTGGGGAATTTCTGATAAAACACGTCCGGCGATTTAAGCGAGGATGGTCTGTCCGGCCCACAGCTGTCCGGGTCTGTCCGGTCCACAGCTGTCCGGGTCTGTCCGGCCCATAGCTGTCCGGATCTGTCCGGTCCACAGCTGTCCGGGTCTGTCAGGCCGACAGCTGTCCGGGTCTGTCCGGTCCACAGCTGTCCGGGTCTGTCAGGCCCACAGCTGTCCGGGTCTGTCCGGTCCATAACTGTCCGGGTCTGTCCGGCCCACAGCTGTCCGGGTCTGTCAGGCCGACAGCTGTCCGGGTCTGTCCGGCCCACAAGGGGCCAACCTTGTGATAGTCGAGCTATGAACGCACATATCACACCGATGCACCGATGCTGTCTGTATGATTCAAATGAAGTTTGGCGAAAATATGTTGAAATTAATCAAAGACCTGATATTTTAAAAATTCATGAATACATACATCATATTATAACGGATAACTTGATCATGCGATTATATAGCTGATAAAGTTTTCTTATATATGATGAGTTATTCAGCCTAAAATATTAATCAATATATCAACGCTTCAAGATTCAGTCAATATTTGTAATTGAGTAAGTCATAACTGAATGTAATCATAAAATGTTATCTTTCTCATAAGTACTCTGCATTGATCTACCTTCTTAAGATGAGTATTGACGGCAAAAACTTTTGTAGGCCTTGACACGGAAATTGGAGCTAGAAGCTATAATGAATGACTGTTGAAAAGAAGAGACTGAGCCAACTTTTAAATTGAGCAGAAATAATCTATTATTATGTTCAGAATACATATTGAAAAGCTCGTGTATTTTTAACCGCTCACACTGTCAGATTTACCAGTAATAAGATGTCATCAGTTCATCACAGAGAAGAAGCGATCTCATTTATGCCTGAAGTAGGTCAACAATTCATTTTATCTCATGCCAATTCATATACTCTCTCTGAGCCGAATCCCCAACCGATTGGAAGTCCGTTTTCTATTTAATATAATATTTAATTGTTCCCCTAGATCACGATTAATATTAAATTTTAACGATTTCCCGTAGATTTTAGAGCTGTCAAAGTCGATCCCGAGTCAATGCTTGGTTGCGTATACGCTCGTTGACCCAGAGCACGTCGCTGCAGCACCAGCCTCCCCACTCGGGCTCATCTATCCAGCGTTGCAAGTTGTTGACCGTAGCGCGCACCCTCCGGAACCCTACGTCCTCCAGCTCACTTAGGATCTCGTACGCGAGTTGTCAATAATGACAACGTATGTAAAAGTAATCACCTGAATGCTTGCATTGTTCTAACCGATGTTAAAGTGCACGTTCATGAAATTATGCCCAACCCACAAAAATTCATGTAAATAAGGCGAACGGGATTCGATTTTTTTTTTTCGAAAGATTATTTGAGTTCCGTAATACCGTAACTGTGGTGATTTTTGTGGCATTCGGTGGTCCATCTCGAATTTGAAGTTAATTTCTGGCCACTTGCAAATAAATGATTAGAAAATAATGTAGGAAGTCGTGGGAAAAGCGATTCAAGTCTTTCCATAAATTAGGAATTTACTGTAAAGGCATCGTTTTTATGGATTCCTAGCTAGGATGAAGGAATCCTAGTCCTAGGAGATAAAGATTTTTAGAGCAACTTGCAGAAGAATTCATGACAACCTCAGAAAGACCCACAGTTAAATCCTTGGATATTACCTTAACGATAATTTCTTTAATCTGGGTTCAGAACCGATTACCAGAAGCCATATCAATTTAAAATAAGGAAAACGGAGAGCCAAGAGACAGCACTTCTTGGATTGTGTTATCGATCGGTGAAACGGACGGCCAGCGAGGCACCGACAAGGTATACTCTCAATGATGCATGGTTTTATGTATGATGCATGGCTATATGTACAGTATGGAGGAGCTTTCCATCAGCCAAATAATAAAGTCTACTAAAATTATATTTCCCAATAGACATTAATATTTCTGCGTAGTGCTGGCCACACTCCTCGTTTAAGCAGGTTGTAAGTCAAGTACTAGTTGGTAAGAATCGGCGATACGTTAGCTCTGATCAGCCTAATCATCTGCGCCGATTAATGCTATGCTAAATCCCATGTATAACTATACTCGTTAGTTTTGCCCAACCAATAACATTGTTCTTCTTGTAAAATTTTTACAGAACTTATGGAAACAAGTTTCAATTGATAACGGAGGCCGGATGTTGGATGTTAGTTTACGAGCCAATGACATCGATTGCCATACCTTTCATATCTTCATTTTTAAGCTTGATATAATCCAGAATGGTCTGAAAACCGTGCAAAAAGTTCAAGTTTGAAGGTTTCGAAGTCAAAAAATAAAGTTTCCGAAGCGTGCAGGGCTTGGAAAAAATTACGGTTAATTTTGTCTTGTCGAATCCATGTAACTTGTTAGCACAAACCTTGTTGCGCTGGATATACAGTTCAGATGACTCCCACTCCCTCCAGAAGTTGTGGATCTCCATGTGTAGTTGCCACACGTTCTCCAGTAAGCCCGAGTCAAATATGTTAGGTAAAACCTATGGATGACATACAAACAATTCGACATAACAACGCTTATGAATTTCCTTGGTGTATTTTTTGGCCTCCTAGCCTGACAGCTTTGGGAGCGAACTCATGAATTGCAAGGTTGAATAATCGTTACATCATATCTTGTGTGTACAGTATATATTCCATCAGAAAAAGTAGTGCAGCAACTTGTGGCAGCTATTGAATTCGGCACGTAATGAATTTTGCGTAAGTTTGGCTTTTGTGAATTTTATTACCTAAATTTAAATTTTCACGATACAAAATATTCACTGTTTACTTCTTACAAGTTGCACTAACATGATATTCTTGTTCCTCGATGTCGATCTTGAGGTAGTGCACCTGGGCGCCGACGTGACCGTTGGCCGCGAGGGCGTCTTTGTACGTCACCAACGTCCGGCCGTCGTCGTCGACGTGGCTGACGTTGGCGATGCCCCACGGCCGGTGGACGTGGCGAGGCCCGAAGAAATCCTGTGGCCGAAATCTTACAATTCATTTCCATATCTCAAATCTATTCATTGATCTGCTTCTATTGTTTCACTGAGAACCGTATGCCTATAATAATTTCAAAATACATTTTCTGTGTGAGATGATGGCCATTTTCAAGACCTGAATTTTTAATTAAACCAGTTTTGGCCCTCACTTACATTGAAACATATATGTAAAAAGTTATTAAAATTAGTATTCCTGACGTGGGTATGGTTGACAGTGTGGTCGTGCAGGAAGACCTGACAGCCCCAGAGGTCGGACATGATCTTCTCAAATGTGATGTCGTTGCCGACACCAAACGAGTAAATCAGGCACGAGTTGTAGGCGGGTGTGTACCACGGGTCCAAACATACCTGGTGAACAAGTAATTACTGATGAACAAGTTTCAATATGAATATTACGACGATTGTTTGCTTGAGAATAACCTT